GATACTGCCTTCTTCAAGTCTTCTCGGTCAGTATATCGATGGTCTCTCGGATTCTGCGTTTTCTCGTATTTTCACCATATGTAGCCAGAATTTCTGTCGATTTTAAGTCGATTTCGTGTCCCGTTCGAGCAATGTGTTCCGCCATTTCCGATCTTTCCGTATCCATATTCTTGCAGAGCCTTTGATGTTTCTTGATTAGTAGGCCGACTTTTCTTCCTGTTTCATCGATATGCTTCTGGACACAGTTGCCGCATTCGATGCGATAAACTGCCGAGCAATCAAGTCTGTCGATCTTCTCGTGTTGCGTCGACATAATGATGAAGAGTATTTTCTTCTCCTTTGCTATCACCTTGATATTCTTTTTCCTTAGTAACGGTCGCAACTGTTGGCTTAGTTCACAAAACAGCAGATATATCTAATTTTGGTCGTCCTCCAGATTCCTTATCTTATTTTCATTAAATTTTTGTTTAAATCTGCTCTTTAGGACCCCTATAGTTCTTTATATAAATTCCCTTGTGTATCCATTGCCAAGGCAAACCTGAATCAGTTACAGAACTCAGTGTCCGTTAGTCTTAAGCTTCTGATGATGATCTTTAGTCTGTAATTGTGGCGAGACTAGAAATTGAGGATTATTCTTGCATATGGTTATATTCTGAATAGTCTCCTCTCGAGTATTTCGTTGTAGCGCAGGAGCTCAGCATACAGGATGGGCGGACGTTTATCTTCCTCCACCTGCATTTCGAATTTAATTCCTTCATCAAGTTGGTTTATAAGATTGAGAAACTTATTCCAATTTTTCTTACCATGCGTCTAAAGTGTAAAGTAGTCGTTTCGGTATCACATAAGCACTCTTGGTTGCAGCGGTGGCTTCCCTCACTTCTTCGCCAATTTTTCCATGCAAGCATTTGCCAAAAGAGGTGAGAGTGTAGATCGCATCGTTAGACAAAATATTTGCTCATAAATATTGCCTTTGAATGTAAAATATATGCTACTTACTGTCAGGTTGAATAGTCGTGTTAGAAACTCCTTTCGTATCCGCCCTGCTTCCAGGATATCGTTCTCTCCTTCCAAGACTTTCAGCAGGGCGCCTACCTACTTCTCGCCTGAGATGTTTGTATACTTTGATTGTACGTCGAAATTAACCAACAGCTCTATCCCCACCAGGTCACTATTTTGCTTGATTTGAGAAAATTGATATAAATGCATTACGTCATTCGGGCAGCCGTAATTCACTTTCTTAATCTTCAAATAAATGAAGTTGGCTACTTTATGTGTTGCTCCATGCTTGTTATTTACTATTAATGAGGGGACTTTGATTTCGTATAAAAGTTTATGAAGAAGAGAGAGAAGGAAAGCATTTATAAACTACACGAACTAATTAGAATAAAAACTAGGCTTAGGCAATCCCTTTATGAAATATGGAAGAATGTGGATTTCATTAAGTTACAAGGCATGGCTGACAGGTTAGTAGAGG